GAGGGGGGGTCATTATGTGTAACAGGGACTACTGTACCTATCAAATCCCACCAGCTCTTCCCCCACCCCCCTTACCCTATTAAAAATGAACAGTCCCTAGTGTGGTTTGGTTCGTCACAACTCATATATTATAGAGTACTCACTTACATGTATCTCCTGTATAACATTATCCCCATCCTACACCCAGTCTGACTTGATAGTTGCTCTATGCAAAATGGCAGTCAATACCCCTAAAGACATAAGCAAGGCTCCCATGCAGTTAATCAATATTTCTCCTGCCCAATTTTTTTTTTTTTTTGACTGACATACCAACTCACTTTCACAAAAGGGAGGATGACAGAAAACGAACTGACACTACAAACTGGTATGACCTAAAAACATGTTTCTTTCCAGCATATTGTGAGGTCGTGTCTGACTGGTTGTAAACCAGTTACAGGTGTACACGGTGAAACATAAAACATAATTTTGTTTTAGAACTAAATCAGTCATGTCACTTTCAAGATGATACTTTCATGTGGTGCAGAACTTTCACAGAACTGTTAGAAATGTAGAACTTTTACAGAGATTTTGAATTAGGGTATGCAGATCACAGGTACAGGGGGGGAAATTATTTATTTTCATAACTTTTTTTCCCCTCTCAGATTTTCTTCATGCTGTAGCAGTAAAGGCAAACCCAGTTTCAGCAATGTTGAAGATAGTGCTAGACAAGGTAATTAATACATTTTGCCATAGAGTACCATAATAATTCAACTTAGCATTGTCATTCCAATAAAGGTGTTTCCTTAGTTATGTGTAAATGCCCTCTGGTCAAAGGTATTTTAACAGGAAGTGCCCCTATCCAAATCAGGGCCCAGCATTAGAAGAGATGCCCTCATTTCAGTACTGTAATTGCAGCACTCAAATAAGCACTGGCAGCACCTCAATTATGGGTTGTCCTCGAACAAGCACTGTGCATAATAGCAATAATTTATGACTGCAATATTACCATGCAGCAGCTTTGCCATTATGCCAGAGTGAACAATCTGTCCTCCATATAGAATGCATAATTATTAACAGGGCAGGCATTTCGCTTTACATTTTTCATTCTGTATGAATATCTTTTTATTTTGTTGGGGAAAACTAGAAATATCCTTGGCTGGTATTGACGAATGTCTCTTGTCATTTGACTTACAATGTAGGGTCTTGGTATTGAATGCGCTTCTATCACAGAGGTATTCAATGGCTTGGAAGTTGGCTTTCCACCCGAAAAAATAGTGTTTGACTCACCAGTGAAAACAATGCCAGAATTAAGTATGAATTTGTACTGTCTATTTCCTTTTGCAGAAAAAATACCTCTTAGTCAACAGGTTGTAGGCTATGTTATGAGTGGGTGAGTGAGTGGGTGAGTGAGAGATACATGTATGTATTTCACACCAATTAGATTGGGGCTACTACTTTAAACAACAAATCAAATTGATGCTTGTAAAGGTGAATCATGCGTGTGGAGACTTCATTCCGATTTTAGTATGGCCATCTTTGTTTTTCTACAAACAGAAACAGGTATTCTTGTATTGGCCTTATTCTGACATTTCCAATGCTGCATTTGCTATGGTTAAGCCTAGGACTTTGTAGATGGGTTTCAAAAGAGTTCAGAATTCGATAATCAGTTGAGGAATCTTTGGCATACACTAACAAGTCATCAAGGCTCAATGCTTTTTGCATTGTAAACATGAAATTTCAAATGAAATGAGTCTTAGCCGTTCAACAACCTGGTGATTTCTAGGACAGAAACAATTATTGTTCTTGGTGCAAAAGGCCCTACTGGGATGGTGAGGGGGCTTTCATCTGTGATGGTATTGGCCAGGTTCCCATCGAGATCATTTGCATCACGTGAAGTTCACAAAAAAAGAATAATTTTAAGTCCATAAACCATTTATGTTTGCACAAAATTTTTCAGTTTGTGAAAGTCTCAATAGCGCTATTCACGGAGTAATACTGTCTCCTCGTTGAAATGTTTCTTGGAATCAATAATCAAATACTCATTTGAATTGGTTTTCTCTGTTTTAATTGAAGGCTACAGTTGCTTTGTAAAAATTCAAGTGTAAAGCTCAGTGACTTTTATTTTATGTTTTAGAGTTTGCATTAGAAAAAGGAATTCTCATAAATGTTGATAATTATCAAGAACTTGAGGTTATGACAAAAATTATAAAGGATCTTGGGTAAGTACATGTATAATAATATTTAATATTTGGACAAATTGTAATGATGGCCAATCAAAATGTCATTTGAGAACAGAGGAAGGATTTACCTTCCTGTAGACATAAACCAGTCAAGTTGAAACTGAAAATTATGTAACAACTAAATTTGAAACCAAATACATGAACAACCCCTCCATTCAAGTGACTAAAAAGTATATACTTCTACAGATGCTATCCTTGACGGAATAATTACTAATATTATTAATATTATTGCCATATTACCAAAACTTATAGTGAGTCCATGATTGGCAATACTTTCCTTACTCTTGATGATTTTAAAACTACAGTTTGTTAATAAAAAAATAATTTAGTGGAAGAGAAACAGTAAGAATAGAAGCAGTGAGAACAACTTTGTCAAAAAATTGTATCTCATTTTGATCTTGCAGTGTGCCATGTCCACAAACTTTCTATCTTATAATACACTTAGGCATTAGCATTATAATTATAAAAACTGAACTTACCCTTGCAATGCCTAATTTTTAAATCCTGCCTTTTAGTAGTTAGTGATTTCCCTTTATCAGGAATAATGTAGACTTTTTTTCTACGTACATGTACACAGGCACACAAAGTCCACAGTGGGCATCAGATTGAATCCTATTCTTGGAGTTGGTGACATTCAAGATCTGAGGCAAGTAACACACAAATAAAGGAGAACATAAATTGTGACTAATTAGAGAACATAAGTAGAAAACCATGCAGTAATTGCAATCATTTCACTCATAAAATTAATTTGTTCTTAGCACATTAAGATTGTACGGGCGGGGGAGCGGGGAGGGGGTAATGCAGAAAATGAAACCAGAGCCGCCGGCTTCTTTAGCTACAAGGC